GGGGGGGGGGGATGGTTACTCCTGGAATTGACTCATGCATAAGCCTTTCAATTTTCGCTGTCTGTAGTTGACAGATTGTTCATCATCTGAGATTTATAAAGGTAGTATAGGTACGTAATACAGAAAATGAAGTGCTCCCTCACTCCTCATTTTGGAAACTTACCGAAATTTGTACAATTTTTCAGTAAATTTTCATAATTTTCTAGTAAATTTTTCCTGAATTACATAAAGTTGCTAAAATTGGCCGACAAAACTGCAATATTACAACTTTGGGGGGTGTTGCAGGTTCCCCCCACACACCCCAGGAGTTATGCAGGGGCTACCGTTGTTCCATTTATATCATCTTAGCAAGCCACATATTCTAATGTAAGCTAGCATATATTTAATCACTCACATGTGTTTCCCAAAGAGCTATATTTTAAATGCCATCGTGAGGACTAGTGAAAGATTGATACAATCCATATATTATATGGAGTAAATATATCCAGGCATATTATTTAGTATATTATATATTATGTATATATTATATTTTTATATTATCCATATATTATATTATGGTGTAAATATTAATATACACTTAATGTCTGCTCGGGCCGAGGGAAATAGTTCAATTATTTTCCCGAGAGTTTCATTGAGATTCAAGGGAAACAAAACTAACTATTTCCCAAGGGAACGGACATTAAGTGTTTTGTTATATAGTGAAGAAAGAAAAATCAACAACATTTCATACAGCAATTGTATTTCAAGACAGAAACCTACTTAAATGGTTTGAGCAGCATATCCTGTTGCCTGTTGTGTATTTTTCTTCTCTTTCACATTTCTTTATAAATTTTAACACAAACTTGGAAAATGAGTTATAGTTTATAAAATTGTGAGTTGTGCCACCATTTTGCTTGTCTATGTACGTACACGTAGCTGGTTGGGGTGATCAACAATTTTGAAGTCACTTGTTGCCTGGTGATCCACATTGCATTTATCTAAAGCCTGATGTGACCACAAATCAGCCAATCACATTTGCTGTTCACCTTAGCTTAGCTAGATAACAAATCCATGTAACTATATCCATATTATGGAGTATGACTATAGTGAAGGATTATTGCAATCCATATATGGAGGTTTTAAAGATAAGAAAAAACAAGCAGCTGCAGTCTGCAGATACCTGCAGTTTTCCTGTTTATTCCAAACAAAATATTGGGACTCTTATATAGTATGTACTAAAATGTGATTGTGAATAAGATAAAAATTGCATTGTTCATCCTGTTGCAATTATAACAATTATCAAAATTTCAGAACCTTGTAAAAACAATTTTTTTTTTTTAATATATCAGACAATGCAAGACAAATTAACTCAGCTGTCTCTTATAATTATAACATAATTTTGGGCAACATGACGGTAAAGTAGAGCATTGAGCAGCATATTGGGAACAATGTAAGTAATAATGAACAACTGATTCTTCCCCATTCCCAGAATCACAAAGAGGATCTATACAAATTGGTTTATATACATGTATATATATATATGGGTGAAAAATACATTTCAATATGTTTTCAAAAACAGCTATTGACTAAATAGAACAAACACTTTCATCAAGTTAATTTCACAGATTAACAGCTGACAGAAAAAATTGTATCTTTCAGTTGGAGCGTTAAACAAGGTGAGGTTTTGAGCAACTTTAATTAAACCATTGAGTAACAGCACTCTCCCAAGACAAGTAATTAAGTCATTTGGCATTAGACAGAGTAAGATATTAAGTATGGCACTTCGATCAGAGCACATTAATTGCTATTAATGGGGAGGTTACTTCAAGAACCAACTGTCTTCTGCTCAACTGTCAATGCTCGCTGTTTCGGAGTGATTTTTTAATTATTAAAAAGAAGAAAGAAAGTACAGTAAGTAAGTAAGTAAGTAAGTAAGTACGTACAATGCAAGACAAATTAACTCAGCTGTCTCCAAAAATAACATAATTGTGGAACATGAGGGTAATGTAGAGCATTGAGCAGCACATTGGGAACAATGTAAGAAATAACAGTTAACAGTCCATGATTCTGCCCCATTCCCAGAAATACTGGACTGTAAAGTCAATAATTTTCTAGTCTATTAAAAGAAATAAACTGGTGCACTGCCTCTCCACTTTGATATGAAAATAATACAATATAAAGTAAAAACAGGATGTAAATCAGGACAAACATCTAGACTTAACTCTTCTTTCTCATCTGTCGTGGTAAACCCATATCTTTAACTCATTAAGTGGCAAGCTGTTGCAATGTTTCCACCTAAGTGGCAAGCATTTGGCGTATTCTTCATTGAATTCATTTGAATGTGCACAGAACTGTCGAAGGGAAGTTAGAGACTGATGTTTATCGCAAACCCACATACACAGACAAATATTTGTCATACGACTCTCATCACCCAGTAAGCCATAAAAGATCCGACTAGCAAAAACTTTGCTTCAAAGAGCTGAATCCTTGCCGTCAAACAGCGATTCTCAAGCTAATGAACGTGAATATGTTCTAAATATTTTAGGGGAAAACGATTACCCAAAACGTTTTCTTAATGATTGCCTGAGATCACCTGTTTGTAGGAACCAAAATAACTCCGAGGGTGATACCTCTGAAGTCAAATCAGTTTGATCATCTGATTATCAATTTCCCGTTCGTAATGCAAAATGACTGAAAAACGGCAAACTTCGTAAGGCTATATTATCCGCATTTTACAACATTTCGCAACGAAACTTTGGAATATTACTAATTTTGTGATGCTCTTTCAAGCTGTGATGACATTTTTGTCCAGACTTGTCTAGATCAAAATTTCACTCAAAAGGGGAAAGGTCTATTGATTGATTGAATTATTTAATACGTAATCGTTAATAAAGAAGTTTAGGCTATTGTTTTTTATCGTCCTTCTCCTCGAGCCACATGAAGGTGTTGGTTGCTGTATGGAATAGAGTTCCTGCCGTCTTATAGCTACTCTGTTTTAATATGGAACTTCTTGATTACCAACCTCGTTCCCAGAAGGAAAAGCTTGGAAACGAGGTTGGTTGGTTACGTGATTGGGCCTTTAAAGATGACCGCATTTGCAAAAACCACGGACTTCAAATAATTGTTTTATAAGACAGTCTCGATTATGACTCTTATATATCAAAGAAAGCAATTAAGAACAATTTGACACCTAAGCTATAACATGCATTATTTATTATAATAATTTTAAGATCGCAAACTTTGCAACTTTGCATAGATCAACTGCAATTCTGTAGGGTCGGATATTTGTGAATCAAAGTTTTTGAGAAAAAGTGGATCGGATTTTAGAAACATTTGCCATATTCCACAACAGTCCGCAATAGTTTGTATGTATATTACTATATACTGTACTTGATATCTATATCTATTCTATTTTACTAAACTGAAAACTCATAGTCTATTGTAGTTATCTTACTATTAAATGTTGATGAGTATTATTATTATGTAGTCATAAATGCGAGACAATTTTCGTAAAAAATTGGCTCGTGGTTCAATTAAATTGTATATGGAAGTGTATATTATCTGGGACCCTGAGACAGATATATACAGAATTAGCCATTTCCCAAAGTCCTGGATCGAGAACTTGAGTCCAAAAAGTGAAGCCAAAGATGGCGGGAATTGAAGAGCTATTGGACATCAACCCAGTCCCTTTCTATTTTTGTTTGCGCGGTCGGACACGAAGCTGATGAGAGTGTGCCGAAATTTCATATTTTAATTTAACTTCGATTTGAAGACTAAATTTATGATTTTACGAACTGAAAACTTGATTAGCGATACGGTTCGTTATATAAAAAACTGGAATTAGCTGGGGAAAATTGTATAAAAACTGTTTACGACCTTCGTAGTATTGGACGTAGCCTGGGCACTCAGGCTATATTGGACATCAATTTCCGCCATCTTGCTTTTACTTCTCTCATATGCCGAATGACTGAAGTTCTAGCTCCAGTTATATATAGAACTCACTTTGAGCTGGGTCAAATTTTGATGAAGAGTTGATGAGAGTTTTTGTTCGTTCTCATCAACTCTCATGCAACTTTTGTTCCCGTTTAGCTGCGGCATACTGTAAGAGTTGGGAAAACTCTCATGCAACCCTTGCTAGTTCTCAACTCTCATCAGCTCTGATCGTCGTTTAACCGGGGCTTTAGTTATGAGAAGATGTCTCACACTGCAAAAAATTTGGACTCGAAAACTTGCGTAAAATAATGCACCTACAATCACTCCAAATATTGAGTCAAATTAGCTACTCGAATTTATGAGCAAATTACTCATTTCCGATTTTTTTTATTAAAAAGCAAATCTTTACTAGAGTACATTTGACTGACTTGACGAAAAAAAAATTAAATTGAGTAAATTTGCTCATGAATTTGAGTAATTTTTCTCACAATTTTGAGTTCCTGCAGTGCCTATAGACATATCTATATCCTTTCCTTTGTGTATTACATAGGAACGTCTAATACTAAATTATTATATAATATTAGATAGTTTGTCTGGTGAAGGCTTTGAAATATTGTTGGAAGGTCATCTTGCTTGGTTTTGGATTATATATACCATATAGGTATACATATACCATCAATTTTTCAAAATGCATTGATTGAGACTTTGATTCATTTTATGTCATTTCATTATACAGTGTATGTCATTTCGATAGTAATCTTATAATCAAGACAGCTGTGTGGGCAAAAGCTATTTACTAGTTCATTGTACTCTCATTGTGGGATATTTTAATTGACGTCTTATATTTGGCTCAAATTGGAAGCATTATTGCATTATTATTCTTTAATGCGCAAGAGTGGATTTGGAAACATTTAAGAGAAGCAAGGCTGGTAGAATAATATGATTTATAAAATTTAATACTAAATACCTGACTAAAACTGTTTCCCAACAAAACATGGGCGCCGTGACCCAACCGAAGAATGTCAAGAATACCGGGCTAGATTTCCATTGATCCTATAAGACCGTGCCCCGTGCTTCAACGGTTTTGATTTTTTACTTCTGACTTTCTGTAGAGTCCATACTATTTTGATTGAGGTGCTTGTGGACTCGAGGATATAATTATATATCTGATAATGGCTGGAGAGGTAAGCAAAATAATTAACAATATTATTCACTGAAGTGGAAGTGAATAGTGCAAGGATGTTCTAATAACTAACAAACAACTTTATTTCAAGAGGGTGACATGCGCGATTTGCTTTGTGACCCTCAAAGTTACCTAAATACAATAAGATAAAAGTTAGCTATGATAAAATAGTTCCATTAGTATATATAGAGAAGAATTATAGGAAATTATGTACAATTTTAATAAAACTTCAAAGCGGTCAATGTCTTTATAAGTTTCTCTAAAATAGTTGATTTCAGGCGGAACGCCATTCAGAATTTTATGCTCGTCACTGTAAATGTTCCACTTAAACGCGAAGAGTTGCAGAGATTCATCCTAATTGCACTATTCACCGACACTAAGGTGAATAATTGTTTCAGTATATATACCATAACAAAACAAAAACGACGGAAAAACAACGAAAGTATTTTTAAAACAACTTGTTGATTGCAGCTTCCATATAGTTGTGGACAAATCATTAGAAATAACTTTAAGGAATACCTCTATACACACTGTAAACTTTGTGGCTTTCTTCATGGTTGGCGAAACTACAGCTTCATTTAGCACAAATATTTTCTCGTCTGCAACTGGAACGAAACGGGAAGCCATTTTGTTTTTGTCTGCAAGAAGTGAAAAGGATTTTAATTCTTGTATAACACATTTGCTATATATGAGCATATCCCTAATTTTAAAACTGCATGCTTAGATTGGTAAAGATTGGCATTAAACTGACCAATATATGAATTTTAGACACTGAAAAGGAAATTTGTAATACAGTACTAGTAGACCTTTTCACGCAATTTTTCACGCCAAATTTTTCACGCCAAATTTTTCATGGGCAACGAAATGAAAATTCAACATCAGGTGAAAAGAGCATATGATTAGGTCAATTATAAAAACAAGATGACAGAGTCGCTGTTTCTGCTCAAAATATATCTAAAACCTAGCAAGATAGAGAAAAATTGAGGCAAAATTGAGGCATTTATCATGAGGCAAATTTTCACGTTTAAAAATGATATAGAATAGTCATGCATTGTAGTTTTAAAACAGTAAGTTTATTTACTCTTTATTGCCTGCATGATACCGTAATTTTTTTCTTTGCCTGGCGTTCGCCGTTTGCCGTATAACGCGAAATTTAAACTCTCTATTAATGATTTTCATGCTGAGAAAATATAAAAAAGAATAACTTTGTAGGATTAACAGTTTAGATTTTAGAATTTTGATGGCGCCAGATGAAGACAAACAACACACTATAGTCTATTTGAAGAACTATGCTGTAGTGTACCATTATCCACGCATATCCTGGACTTTATTCTTTAATTTTTCTTTCAGTTTTATATTTAGTGTTTATATCCGCTTTGAATTCAGCCTGAGTTAGCATGCTAACTTTTATACTATTAACTGATCGTTGTATCTTATTGTGTAGGGCGGACGATTATGGGGTGGTCGTTTTACCGGAAATACAGACCCGATAATGGAAGCATTCAATGCTTCAATAACATTTGATAAACGTATGTGGGCAGATGACATTGAGGTAATTAGTAATTTAGTATGACAATACAGAGTTGATGTTCGCGGGCATAAATATGATTTTGGCCTGACTCAGACTCATCAGCCTTAATTGGCAAAGTGGGGTGCACGGATGGTGCAAATTATGTCTTTGTCAAATCTATTGTTCATTTGGAAACTAAGGCAATATCCCACCACCCTTACCACCAGCTAGGCCCCTGGCCCCTGCCAGCAACAGTGTTTCCGATCGCCAGTTCTTCACAGTGCGGCCTTAGCTCCCACCCCAAAACATGACCGAAGTTCGATAAGTACCCCCTTCCCGCGCTTACTATAAATCTAGTTGGATCCATTTTAATCCATCATTTGTTTCCATGCATTGACTACCTTTATGTAAATGTTAAAACAGGTGGTGCATATTCATCGCAAAACATTTCTTTGAAATGGGAATTTTTTGTCTGCAGGGCAGTATAGCGTACGTGAAGGGCTTAGAAAAAGTCCAAATAGTCACCAAGGAAGAAATGGATACAATTATCAAGGGACTTGAAAAGGTATACTACAGAGGATAAGAAAAAATGAGATCTTTACAAATCAAGCTATTGTATGCTCCTGGGAATTGGGGCATGCATAAAAAAATTGTCAAATTACTATTTATAGTCATACCATCAGTCAGTCGAATAAAAATGGTTCAACACACAACAGAACAACGAGTTTTACGGTTTTACGCTTAAATTAATCGGCACACTTTAAAAACAGATTGGTTGAAATTACCAATTTAAATTGGTTCACTTGTCTCAGACGCATTAATTTAACCAATTTTTATTGGTTAAACAACAACAAAAAATAGGTTAAAACAACCAGTTTTATGGTCGTTTTGACCAAATAAAATTGGTCAAAAAGAGATGCGTCTGAGACAACCAATTTAAATTGGTCATTTCAACCAATCTGTTTTTACCTGCAGTGCACATAATGCATATGTTGGACGTAACCAGATTAAAGTTTTAAATAACTTCGTCATGCATAAAACTCACTTCTTTCTGTTTTGGCTTCAGCATAGTGCTATGCATTCAAATTCCAACATTAGCTTGATCTCTTCTTTTTTATACACCCTGCATGTATAACGGAAACACTAAATAGACTTAGTCTGTCGTCCTGACTCCTGTAGACCACTGATGTGAACACTGGACTGGATTGACATCCTTTTGAAGCGACTTTTTATCTGTCAAATTTTTGCAACTCAATTTTTGACATACACAGAGCCATGTTATAAAAAGTAGTCTAAGGAAAATACTGAGCATTGCCCACGGTTTATTCTACAGACATTTTTATGTAAAGAAAGTGTATAGGCAGAGTAGAATGTGGACCGCCGGGTGACACCGATGTCAACTCAACCTGCTCGAGACGAAGGCTTTCTGAAGGTGCCTCTTGTAGCCACCTTATGAATCATGTCTGATCACGGAACACAACTATACGGATGAAGGGTCAGTTTGGGGGTTATCCCAACTCACCCTGTCAACATTCCCTGCATGTGGGAGGAGACCAGAATACCCGGACAAAACCCACGACCTTCGGTAGAGCATTGACTGACTCTTTTCACATAAGTGTCATGGTCAGCTAGAATCGAATCACGTTCTCAGAAGTAAAATTCACTTTCTGTCACGTTTGCACCTGCCGAAGCCCCTCCATATGGAACTGTAGGTTATAATCAAACGTTGACAGTTTCCTGCATAGGCGTACGGGGGGCAGGGGGGGGGGGGCAGCTGCCCAACAGGGGGGCAGCTGTTACAAAGTCGAAAAGTCGGGCAAATGTTCAGCAAAAGTCGGGCAAAAGTCGGGCAAAAAGTAGTCAAAACAAGAAAATCTCTCTTAATAATAACCCCAGTTTGTTGGGCAAACAAAGCCAGTTGGGTAATATTCGCTTCATAGTCGAGCAGTATTTGGTTATTATAAAAATAAATGGGACAAATTCTGTAAATTTTGTTGGAAATATGTCAATTTTTAGATTTTTGGGAAAGTTTGTTTGAGGTTTCGAAAAATTTGGGTATGTCCGAAAAATTTAAAAAAATTTTTCGGCACTAGTCGCGCACAATCCGAAAAAGTCGGGCAAATTTCTTTCTGCCCCCCAATTTTTTCCTTCCCGTACGCCTATGGTTTCCTGAAGGTTGAAATTAATGTTGCATCTGACATTTTTGCTTTGTATTCATGCGGATGAGTTGTATCGATATTTTAAGGTGAAAGAAGAGTGGTCTTCTGGTGAATTTAAGTTACAGCCTGGGGATGAAGACATTCATACTGCCAATGAAAGAAGACTAAAGGTAATTAATATGAAAATAAATTATATATTATAGATTCGTTACAACTCCTAGTTCGTGTAAGTGCATGGCAAATTATGGAACATGCAGATGGATACAACGTCCTATCATTGAGCCTTTATTTTAGGGGCCTTTTAAATTTAGGGGTAGGCATCTTGATGTGATAATGTATTATTAATTATTGTTTTTAAATGGTTACAACAACGACAACTCCTTTATTTTTCCACTCTTAATTCTGCGCATGTAATAATTTGTAGTAAATGCCGGCTGCAGACTGGCCGCGGGGATGCTAATTCAGGATTGTATTTATCAACATGGTGTATATATCAATGGGAACAAAATCAGTTCATTCATGCTTTGATGATTGCATAGAAAGCGAACGTTGTTTCAAAACTGGGGGGTTATAAGCTATTGAAGAACTTCACTACTATGATGGCGACGCGATGATTACGCTGGTGATACGTCAATTGTTTGTTGATAGATCGCCTAAAGTTTGTCTATCCTTTTTATTACTATAGGAACTTGTGGGAAGTGTTGCTGGCAAATTGCACACAGGAAGGAGCAGAAATGACCAGGTACTGTATACTGGCAGTTCATATCACCACCTATAATGGTACATGTATATAATAAGCAATTATTGGATGAGGCTGAGCATGATATCAAGAATTATTCAGACCGAGGTCAATGTTATCTGCCGAAGCGAAGCTGAGGCGGATAACATAGACCGAGGTCTGAATAATTCTTGATATCATGCGAAAGCAGAATCCAATAATTGTTTTATTATACATTTAAAGACATGAGAAACGTATAAAACGATTCCTGTTCATGAGGTAGGAAAAGTACAATTTGAATATCAAACACATTGCACAAAGTCAAAGGTCAGTTAAATATTCTATTTCTACTTCTATTTACCCCTTTGTGGCTTTTTTCGTGCTTTCACTATCCTTATCTGCCAATAATTTGGAGAGTTCACTTTCATTCAGCGTACCAAATCTGCTGTCGGCCATTGTTTGTTTTTTTTCCCGCGCTTATAGGTTCAAGCTTTTGGCCGCGCAAGGGTTTGGGCACGAGAGAGTCCAATAATTTTTTTTTTGGATGCAAGTTCGATCCAAAAAAACAATTATTGGACGCTGATGACGTCATCGGCGGAAAATACGTAATAAATGCCGAATACTGAAAATTAGCCGGTGCTTTCTGACCAATTAGAAACGAGAATACATATTAAATGTATAATAATATTAATTGTACAGTCCTAGTAGTGTAAATAATTAAGAATTATATTTTCGTTTTAGGCTGCCACAGACACAAGGTAAAATGACATGTATGCAGTTATGCCACTGAATTTGAATTTATTAAATTAGTTATCAGCTTTACAGTGGCAGCAAGAGAAAGAAACAGGGCAAATCCCCAATTGACATCAAACCCCTGATGGCTACATGATAAAATATTGAATTAATAAGATATATTACAGTATTTAGTCTAAAATTAGTTGAGCACGTCTTTCGTCAAGAAGTTTCATCGTATAGTCTGAGATAGCTTTTTAAAAGTTACTTAATAAGTTGGTTGAACGTTTGATATCTAGTGCTATATAGTGAGTTCCAGATGGAAACGACACGGTGGAAATGGGTTTTTAGATAATTTTGAGTTGCTCACTGTATCTTGTAATTCGGGCACGATTTTGGACAGAGCACTGTTGTAAGGAGGGATGATCTAGAACTATTAAGCCTAGTCTGTGTACTAGTGACTACTTGAGCAGCCGATCTTTATCTGATATACAAACTCGAGCTGAAGAAGGCGAGATCAGATAAAGATCGGATGCGAATGTTTTAACGTACGTAAAAAACGACCCATCTTATGATTTCATTGGCGAAGTAATTTTAAGAAGAAACATTGTCTAAGCCGAGAAAATCATTGAATTATACTGGTGTAAAAAAGTTAAGTACACGTAGTCATAATTCCTGCGAACAATTTATCCGGAAATTGAAGCTTGACAATGGTCCTATAAATCCTCTTAAGGATGTTGTTGCAACTCGTATACATCCAACTACTCATAATTATAATCTTAGGTCCGAATCAAGCTGGCCACTCCAAACGAACACAGAACGGTTTCAAAATTTTATAACTGTTAAATATAATTATTAATGTATTATAGATTTAGTAGTACTCGTGTATATTCAGGTACCCAATTATAATTTGTGGACAGATTTAAACTGACTATTCAGAACGAACATTGAACGGTTTGAACTCAATTTTATTTGTAAGTAATGTATTTACCTATAATCATGTAATTCAGTCTCTACTGCAATGTGATTAATTAAACAGATTATTATTATTATTGCCGGGTATGTAATTGTAAAATCTCGAACAGTCTGTGCCAGTGTAGGGAGTGACGATAATAAGAAGCAGCGGAGTGATAGGGATGCAACCAGAGGTGGAAAATTTTTTTTTCTTTCTGGGAACCTGGGTCGAAGGCTAGAAATTTTCTGTAAAATTTGCAATGTTACAATTATACAAAAATAACAAAACAAATGCATAATTAGTGTATTATTTGTATTTTAGTAATAATAGGCTTTAGTCTGGTTTTCGTATGCTCGTACATCGCAATAGTTGTCTGTTATATATACCACAGTTATGACCAATTAGTAAGGATTTAACGCTTAACTAAGTGTCCCATAATCTTATTTATTCCATCTATTTAGTTGTTTACTATTTAATTTGCATTTTATTGGAGACTTTGCAGAGCATATATTTACCATTTTACCTCACTGTGATGGCAGGGATGGGTAAAATAATTAATTTCTGTAAAATATTTAAAAGGCTGCTGATGTTAGCGTGTATTGCAGTGTAAATAAAGTAGAATGGTTGTAACTAATTGTAAGTTGAGTAAGCAAAATCACCCGATTAGCGCGTTTGACGCCGGCTGACAGCCGGAAATTTTGTCTCCGATTGCTCGGCTGCCAGCCGGGCTGTACTATAGTATACTGTTCGTTCAAAAAAATGCGCGCATTTCGGAGACTGGTTCTAGAATGTTTCATAAGCAGAAAACCACCAAAATTACATTAAATTTTCCGAAAATCATCGAAATGCATCTAAATTCATCTTCCCAATGCATATAGCTAACTATGCGACAGGTAAATAAACGAGAAAAAAAACAATTTCGGCCAAAAGAAAAATTCAAATTCGTTTGCGCGCATTCCGGGACCGAACTCACGACCTTCAGCACACACGCTGAGTCTTGTCCCTCTGCGCCACCACGTCTTACACGGAAAATATGTTAATTTATTGTATATATACAGGTTATTCTTAGCCAGCGCGATTAAAGATTGCGTAAATATGTACACCATCGTACACGGCCAAGGGTACAGTAGCAGCCGAGCCGTATCTACACTTTAATACAATACTTACAATACATCGCGGCATAGATCACGGCTTCCAGCCGGGGTTATTTAACTGTAATACAATACTACCATGCAATACGAGTGTCAGCCATGCCTGTCGGTAGTATACTATGATACTTCACGGCTACCAGCCGACAATACGGCTATCAGCCGGGCCTGTCTGTAGTATACTATAGTATACTACAATACATCGCGGGTACCAGCCGACAATACGGCTATCAGCCGGGCGTGTCTGTAGTATACTATATTATATTACAGACAGGCCCGGCTGATAGCCGTATTGCCGGCTGGTAGCCGCGATGTATTGTAGTATACTGCAGTATACTACCGACAGGCTCGGCTGACACTCGTATTGCATTGTAGTATTTTATTACAGTTAAATAACCCCGGCTGGTAGCCGTGATGTATTGTAGTATACTATAGTATACTACAGACAGGCCCGGCTGATAGCCGTATTGTCGGCTGGTAGCCGTGAAGTATCGTAGTGTACTACAGTATACTACCGACAGGCATGGCTGACACTCGTATTGCATGGTAGTATTGTATTACAGTTAAATAACCCCGGCTGGAAGCCGTGATCTAGGCCGCGATGTATTGTAAGTATTGTATTAAAGTGTAGATACGGCTCGGCTGCTACTGTACCCTTGGCCGTGTACGATGGTGTACATATTTACGCAATCTTTAATCGCGCTGGCTAAGAATAACCTGTATATATACAATAAATTAACATATTTTCCGTGTAAGACGTGGTGGCGCAGGGGGACAAGACTCAGCGCGTGTGCTGAAAGTCGTGAGTCCGGTCCCGGAATGCGCGCAAACGAATTTGAAATTTTCTTTTTGCCGAAATTGTTTTTTTTCTCGTTTATTTACCTGTCGCATAGTTAGCTATATGCATTGGGAAGATGAATATAGATGCATTTCGATGATTTTCGGAAAATTTAATGTAATTTTGGTGGTTTTCTGCTTATGAAACATTCTAGAACCAGTCTCCGAAATGCGCGCATTTTTTGAACGAACAGTATACTATAGTACAGCCCGGCTGGCAGCCGAGCAATCGGAGACAAAATTTCCGGCTGTCAACCGGCGTCAAACGCGCTAATCGGGTGGCAAAATGTTGAAATAAATTTTCTGCAAAACTCTCAACTCAAAAAAATTTCTGGGAACTAGGTTCCCAGGTTCCGATACTTTTTCCACCCCTGGATGCAACTATACCTGATAAATACAAACAGAACTTTCGACGTTTCGAGCGAAGGCCCTTCGTCGAAAAGTTAGTGCCACCCTTTAGTGAAGATTAAATTTAAGGACTTTCCAGTCCTTTCAAGGACGTTTTACAGTGAATTCGAAGACCTAAAACTGGAAAAGTCTTTGAAAATGCCACGGATTTTGCTTTTTGAAACACTACTATTTATTCAAAATCAATGATCTAAATGATTTTCAAGTATTATCAGCACAGCTGGAAGACAGAAACTGCTTGTAGCACCCTTTGACTTTGTTTATATTTATTTAGATTGTGGTTAAGGGGCAAAGCGAGTGAATTAAAGAATCATCTCAAAGCCTTGATCAACGTTTTTGTGGAAAGAGCAAAACAGTACGTATGTATTACATCATATCGACGTCATAGAACTCAGAGACCAGTGGAGGACAGAGCAGGG